ATAGAATAACAGAACAAGTTACATACAAAGAAATAAATTTACAGATTATATTTGAAAAAGCATGTGTATCCAGAATATAGAAAGAACTCTCAAATTCAACAATAAGAAAATAAAAAGCCTAATTTTTTAAAAAGACAGAAGATTTTAACAGAAACTTCACCAAGATAGGGCTGGGGGTGGTGGCTCATGCCTGTAATGCTAGCACTTTGGGAGGCCGAGGCAAGAGGATCACTTGAGGCCAGGAGTTCAAGACCAGCCTGAGCAACATAATAAGAACATTGTCTCTACAAAAAAAATAGAAAAACTAGCCAGGTATAGTGACTTGTGCCTATAATCCCAGCTACTTGGGAGGCTGTGGCAGGAAAATCACTTGAACCCAGGAGTTTGAGGTTGCAATGAGCTATGATGACACCACAGCCCACGCAACAGAGTAAGACTCTGTCTCAAAAATAAATAAATAAATAAATAAGACACATGGACATCAAATAACACATGAAAAGATGCTCAACATCAGTGATCACTAGGAAAATGCAAATTAAAACCACAGTTCTCAATTTTAATGCAGATTAAAAACAGTTTGTTGGCTCAGCACCTGTAGCTCAGTGGCTAGGGTGACAGCCACATGCACCAGGGCTGGTGATTCAAACCCAGCCCAGGCCTGCGCCAAACCACAATGACAACTACAACAACAAAAAAATAGCCAGGTATTGTGGCAGACGCCTGTAGTCCCAGCTACTTGGGAGGCTGAGGCAAGAGAATCGCTTAAGCCCAAGAGTTTGAAGTTGCTGTGAGCTGTGACACCATGGCACTCTACCAAGGGCAACATAGTAAGACTCTTGTCTAAAAAAAAAAACACAGTTTGTCTTTTTAATTTTAAAAAGGCTAAAATTAAAATGACTGACCACATCAAACACTGGTAAGGATGCAGAATAACTGGAACTCTCATACACTGCTAGTAGCTGAGAAATGGTAATTTGAAGAACAATTTGGTAATTTCTAAAAAGTTAAATATACATGCCTACGATAGTCATTGCATTCCTAGGCATTTACCCAAGTGAAATGAAAACAAAAGTCCATAAAAAGACTTATATACAAATGCTCATAGTAGCTTTATTTGTAAATAATTGAATATCCATCAATAGTTGAATAAATTGTAGTATATTCACATAATGGAATACTATTTGCAATAAAACAGAATTAACTACTGATAGACAGGATAAATTGTAGTATACTCACATAATGGAATACTATTTGCAATAAAACAGAATTAATTACTGATGAATACAGAATTAACTACTGATAAAAATAATATCAATGAATTTCAAAATAATTACATTGTGTAAAAAAAGCCAGACCCTCCCCCCCAAAAAAAGAGTATACACTCTATCATCCCATTCATATAAAATGTTAGTGACAGAAAGCCACTATCATCTACAGTGACAGAAAGCAGACCAGTGGTTGCCTGGGGATAGAGTCACAGGGGAAATGGCAGGAGGAAAGGATTACCAAGGGACACCGAGGAAACTTTGGGGGTGATGGATATGTTCATTATCTTGATCAAGGTGATGATCACACACCTTGATATGTGTGCAGTATAAATATGTGTGTATAAATATGTGCAGTTTACTGTGTGTCCATTCCACCTCAATAAAATATTTAAAAAATCTAACTGAAAAAATAAGAAATCTAAGTGATTAAAGTAATAAAAAAAATTACAGTCCATCCATTCTCCTACATATTCTAAACTCTAAGAATAAGGTTGAATTACCAAAGGCTTCATGCTTGGATCATATATGTTGATCCTGTTGATAAAAGAGTTCCACTAACTCACATCAAAAGTGACCGCTAGTTGGGCGCCCGTGCTCAGTGGTTAGGGCACCAGCCACATGCTCCAGGTCTGGGGGCTTTGAACCCAGCCCAAGCCTGCTAAACAAAACAAACCAAAAAAATAGCTGGGTGTTGTGGCGGGTACCTATAGTACCAGGTACTTGGGAGGCTGAGGCAAGAAAATCACTTGAACCCAAGTGTTGGAGGTTGCTATGAGCTATGATGCCACAGCACTCTACCAAGGGACACAAAGTAAGACGCTATCTTAATAAACAAAAAACAAAAAGTGACTGTTAGCCAGGGGTGATGGCTCACGCCTGTAATCCCAGCACTCTGGGAGGCCAAGGTGGGAGGATTGATTGAGAACAGGAGTTTCAGACTATCTCGAGCAATAGCAAGACCCCATCTCTACAAAAAAAATGGAAAAAATTAACCAGGTATGGTTACACAATCCTGTCATCCAGCAATATGGGAGGCTGAGGGAGGATCACCTGAGCCCAGGAGTTTAAGGTTTGCAGTGAACTATGATAACACCACTACACTCCAGCCTAGGGGGGACAGAGAGAGATTCTGCCTCTAAATCAGCGGTTCTCAACCTGTGGGTTGCAACCCCTTCTAACTGTATTAAAGGTTCACAGCATTAGGAAGGTTGAGAACCACTGCTCTAAATAAATAAATAAATAAAAAGTGGCTATCAAAAGTAGGCAGTGATCCATATAAAGCCCATGTTACTATCTGCACTTTTTTGGCTTAGCACAATGTTTTCAAGGCGTATCCATGTTGTAATGTTTATCAGTATTTTATTTGTTTTGTTGTTGAATAATAAATACTCCATCATATGACATTTCAGTATGACATACTACATTTTGTTTATCCATTCATTAGCTTAGGGACATTTGGATCATTTCCACTGTTTGGCTTTTATGAAGAATGTTGCTATAAACATTTATTTACAAGTCTCTATGTAAATACATGTTTTCAACTCTCGGGTGTATATATCTAAGAATGGATTTGCTGGGTCACAGAGTAAATCTATGTTTAACTTTTTGAGGAACTGTCTTCTAACAGTTCCTACCAACAATGCATTATGGTTCCTCCCTATCCTTGCTGATATTTATTGTTGTTCAATAAATATTTTTTATTATAGCCATCCTAGAAATTGTGAAAAAATATTTCTTTGTAGTTTTGATTTTCCTTTCACTAATAACTAACCATGTTGAGCATCTTTTCATGTGCCTATTATTCTATTTTAAACGTGTGTTTTTATTGAATTATCTACTCAAACTCCTTTAGAAGGAAGTTTATAGATAATCAATAAATAATAAATGTTGACATTCTTGCATAATCTTTCTTAAAATTACACTGCACCTGAGGTCATTCTAAACAGTAAAAGAACCAGGCAAGGTAGCTCACATCTATAATCCTAGCACTCTGGGAGGCTGAAGCAGGCGGATTGCCTAAACTCACGAGTACAAAACCAGCCTGAGCAAGAGTGAGACAGGGTTTCACTAAAGATAGCTGGGGATGGCTCGGTGCCTGTGGCTCAATCGGCTAAGACGCCAGCCACATACACCTAAGGTGGCGGGTTTGAATCCCCAGCCCAGGCCCACCAAACAACAATGACGGCTGCAACTAAAAAATGGCCGGGTGTTGTGGCGGGTGCCTGTGGTCCCAGCTACTTGGGAGGCTGAGGCAGGAGACTCGCTTGAGCCCAGGAGTTGGAGGTTGC